CTTAATAAATATTGATGAGAATGATTCTGATTACATAATTCAATTCAATTCAGTTCAAAGCACTATTGTTGAATAACACCTATTGCTATGCTTATCTACGGTGTTGGAGAACACAGTAGAGAACACAGCAGACAAAACCCTTGCTCTCAGAGAAATAAGGAACAATCATTAATGGTCACAAGGCTTTTGGATAGAAAAAGCTGGAATTTCTGGGGATGGAGAATGGGTGGGAGGGATGGGATGGGAAATAAAAAGGATGAAGATGCAATGTGCGCACCTACTAATTCTCCATAGTGAATCTATTTAACATGTGTGCCAAATATATACTACTACTAGCAGAAAAAGAAAACCTGGAATTTGGACTAGGGCTTCTCTTCTGAGGCTAGGTCTCTCAGTTACTCCTCCATACAACTGTAGCCAAATGGGCTGAAATTCTATTTCAAAGTCTGATGCCTAAAGTACCTCAAATCTTTTTGATCATTATGTGTTAATATGGAAACCCCAAACCTCAGAAGTTATTTATATTTAAAACTGAAAACTGGCATAGAGTAAAATTATATTTATTTGGGTTAATCACATAGATTTTATTCCTGCATGTGTCAGATATATGTAATCTTGTAATTTTAACCCTATAACTTCTTCAAAAGACTTAATAACTTCTACCTACAAATTTATGAGCTAGGTCACAGTTCAATTTTCTCTTTCCCTTGATTGCACACTAATTTTCTGTTTTCCTATATTGCTGGGCTAAGAAACCCCTACTTAGAAGTTCTGAAGAGAAATTGTACCAGATTATATAGAGGAAATTCTATTTCAGATTTTTTTGGAGCTGACTACTGAAAGATCAGTGGGGTCAGTACTTTGCATTTGTGTCAGGTGAGTTCCTTCTTGAGGTGGAAGAGAGGACACACAATATTTTATTAAAGTGTCTCCTAAGCCTGGCCTTCCATTAGATGCAGCTGCAGCAGCAGCTGTCTTTGATGGAGGTAGTCTCCCAAATCTTTGGTCACAACAGCTTTGAGGAACATCTCCTTCTCTTGATGGTGGCAACTTTCCAAGTAGCACCTCCAAACTGATTCTGTTAGCTGCTTCCTCAAGTTCTATTCTTATGTTAGTTATCTATCAACTGTAAAAAATGTCTAATATGATCACCTTACAAGAAAGGAGAGGTTTATTTGGAACGTGTTTTAAAGTGGATTGAAGGGCTGGCAAGATAGCTCAGCAGACTAAGCACCTGCGTTGGCAAGCACAGGGACCAGGTTCGATCACTGGTTCCTAATATTGTACCAGCCCTGATCTGGGGTGCACTGAGCCGGTGAATGAGTCCAAGCATGGTGGCGCATGCCTGTAATCCCAACGCTGGGGAGGCTCAAAACAGGAGGATCAGTACGAGTCCAAGCTTCCGTAGCAAGACCCTGTACCAAATAAATAAATAAATAATAAATAAATAAATAAATAAATAAATAGGTTCAATATATGACTGGCTAGGTGTAAGGCAGAAATATCATGTTGGAGGAAAGCTGTTCATGTCACGGTGGCCAGGAAATAGAGAGAAGGTGGAAACTAAGGACAACATAGTTTATGTCATATTCTCAGCTTTTTCTGATCAGGTTCCCGTGTAAAAGCAATCAAAAACATTAAAACAGCATGTAGGATTGTGAGGCAGATCTATTTATGCTCACAGGCACTGACTGGGATTATTCTCAAAATATCAGGCCCTGAGCTCTGGTGGTCTAGAGCTTATATAGGATAAACAAGCAGAAAGTATAGAGGCAGACTGGCTTGTCAATTGGGGATTGGTTTGTACAATGTTTATCATAGTGCCCAGTTGTGCATCATGTGACCAGCTGTTTCTAAGAGATAGAAGCAAGGGGAACTGGAACAGGAACTATTACCTAGGCAACTAAGGAACTGAAGTATAATGGTGGGGGAAGAGATTTTATGTTATACCACCACTAAACAGCACAGTTAGCTATGAACTCATCAGTGGACAAATGGTTCTCCCATGATCCAATCACCTTCCCAAAACTCCTGGGAACACAGGAGACTTGGAGAACATTTTAAATTTGAAACATAACAACCTCCCAATACCATTTTTGGCAGCCATAGTTTAGTTTTTCCACAGAAAATTCCTCACTGTGCTACATGTACATCTAGTGCATGCTGGACTGGATAGAACACTTCTAAATGCTCCATGTATATTCTCATAGCATGTTGTACATATCTTGATCAAGTAATTAAATTAAGTTATATTATGAATAATTTGTTCATGTGTATTCTTGCTGTGAGGATTTCTAAGGTAAAGACTTTGCATTGTCTTGGGGTTTACATGCCCCAAGTCAGGATTTACGTATGGTAAATGGTCAATCAATACTAATCATGTAGAATACTGAAACTATCATTTTTCAGCAACTACTAAATACCTAGAACTTTTAAAATTGTATTTAATTCAATCATTACAAAGCCTCGATTGGTCAAGAGTTATCTCCAGTTTACAGAATTAAAATGGAGACTCACAAAACTTAGGTAACATAGCTGAAGTTATGAAGTTGTAAGTATCATATCTAGATTGGAGCCCAAGCCCTGAAATTTAATCGTGAAGCTCACCAATGCATATGGTTCCATCTGAACTTTATTTCTAATTGGGTGACCTTCAACACATTGAGTCCCTTGAGCCTCAGTTTCCTATATGTAAATTGAAGGAACCAGGATAGCTAATATCTAGGGTCTCATTTAGTTCAGGATACTGTTATTATAATTTCTTATATGTGCTTGAGTCAAGTTTTCTCCATATCTAAGCTGTTACCCAAAGTAAAAATGTATGTCCTAAATTAGACATACATATGCTACCTGATTACTTTAAGAGAATGACTACATAACCTACTTAGATTTCTTGAAAAATATGAATAAAATTAAATTTTATAGATGAAATTATATTTCATTTTCACCCTACATAAAAATAAGAGTTGTTTTATTAGTATTCTTACTTGACTCTAATGCTTTAACATTGATATTCACATTTAAGATATTAAATGAACTTTATGAGGTTATGCCTAATTTCAATAAAGAAGATACACATTTTTTCCCTAAATATTTTCTCTGTAATTCTCTCCATATTTCCTCTATTAGCTAATACTTACAAACAAGGCTAAGGTCAGTAAAGGAAGCTTTTATAGCAAAATGCAATCAAATAGGAATATCTTCTCTATTAACCCTCTTACTGGGCTATGGCATCTCAAATCCCTTCAAGCTTTAACTTCACACACACTTCTCCTACAAATTGCATAATAATGACTGCATTTTAAAGGTTTTTGTTAAGTGGAATTCATAGGCACTTAATAATGGTGAATGTAACTGTTTTGTACAATTCTCAAGCAAGGGGTTGGCAAGTTCTAGTGGTCCAAACAAGCCTATACCTGTGTGCATAAGGAACATTTTATTGGCACATCACCTTGTCCAGCTGTTTATATACTGTCTGAAACTGTTTTGGGGGCATATATGGTCTGACAAGTTGAAAATATTTATTACCATGTAATATACAAGAATAATTTGTCCATTCCTGTATATAGCACCCTGATTTGGTTTGGTAAATACCTGCAGGAACAGCCTCTGCCAAGAGGCACATCAAATTCTAAAGTGACATGCTTCTCAAGAGGAGTTCCTGAAAAATCTGGCAGGAATCCAACCATAGAAAAGTTTGGGAAACAAGAGATAGTTATCTCTGAACTTGCACTGCTACATAATAAAGTTGTTTCATGCTAGTTGAGATGCAGATGGGAAACTGCTATAGTGGTTAGGAAGGATTCAATTCTAGGATTTTCTGCTTTGTTATGTGACCATAGATAATGAAGATGATTTTTAAAATTGTTCTCCTTGTCTCCATGGCTGCCATAGTAGATACTTCTTGAGTCCACCTGAATCTCATATTAATTAAGACAAGTAGAAGACTTACAGCCTGACATTCAATGAGTATTAGTCATTTTTAGGCAGCTATTTTAAAGGAACAAAAGAATATCAGGGGAATATTTTCCGTTTCAGTTACTCTGGATTTCTATTTAAAGGATGAGTTAGAACAGTCTTTATAAAGAGTATGTTTATTTTACATATAGAGTCCTATGCTGACATTTCACAAGAAAAATAAATTTCTATGAGAAAAATTAATTATGTTTGTCAAGGACTGTGTTTATTATTATAACATTCTGATGATACTCTAGCTGCAATAGCCAGAGGGAAGTCATATACAAACCAAAATAAATCAGCAAATTTGAATGTTATTTCTGAACACGAAATATTAGGAAGCGTATGTTGTGTGACAGATACCAATTTTTTGAGACTCCAGGAGAGCCATCCATCATCCTGCAGAACAAAATGAATCCATAACATGGGGGAAAACGTTACTATTTACTCTAAGTATCAACAATGCTAATTATAATTTTGGCTTGAAGGAATTTAGCAGCTGCTGCTAGTACATTGTTCATATCCCCTCAGTTCTCAAGCATGTATATGACTCCTTGGCTTTCAACTGCCAACACTGATTTTCTAGGGAGAAGTCTAGGCACTGAAGATATTCTGTACACCAACAAAGAGGAGACCAGATATCCTTGGGATGGCTCTAAATCAAAGTCTAATGGAAACTGACAGATAAACCAGCTATCTTGCTTTGAAATAGGATATCTTTCAGTTGTGTTCTACATTGGCTCCCAGAGTGTTTCAGTGGGACTAGGTTTTAGTTTCTGAAGTTGTTTTCTTGGCTTTTTTCCTCTGTCATGTCTCACCTCTTTCTCCCTTTTTACTATTCTCTGGAGCCAATTCCCAAGTAAGCTACTTGGTACAAGTCCTTATGCAGGGTCTACTTTGTTAGGAAGAACTGATGTGAAGACAAGGTCAGAGCCTATTCAAATTTAAGCTGGATTTTTTTTTCAGAACCGGGGATTGAACTCAGGCACTTGCACTTGCCAGGAAAGTGCTTATTTCACTGAGCCATCTCCCCAGCCCCCCCCCCAAATATGGAATGCCTCACGAATTTGTGTGTCCTTCTTGTGAAGGGTCCATGCTAATCTTCTCTGTATCATTCCAATTTTAGTATATGTACTGCCTAAGTGAGCACTAAACTGGATCTTATTGGTGCATTTTCCTTTGGTATTCATAGGACTCATAATCACATAATTGAATGGGCTAAGTATAGTACAATGACTATTTTACCATAAAACTGATTGTTTACTATGCAATAATCAATTGGGTCCATTTTCAAACACAACATAAATGGAAATGAAGGCACAGTATGATGGAAAAGACTCTGAAGGTTTTTAAACTTTCTCCTAAATTCATAAAGCAAATTAAACCTGTTGCAGTGCTGCATAATACTCCATTATATCCATTATATAAAAATATCACATCTGTTTAATCCATACCTCAGTTGATGAGTATTTGAGATGTTTCCAAGACTTTTCTATGACAAATTGTGCTGCTATAAAGATGGGTGCACATATGTCACTGTGGTATGATTTTTTCAGTTTTTCTTGAAAAATAACCAGGAGAAAGACTGGATTAAGTGAAACCTCACATCCTAGTTTCTTAGGAATTTCCATAGTGGTTGCACAAATCTACACTCCCATCAACAGTGGTGAAGGTTTCTTTTTTACTCAAAGCCCCACCAGCATTTATTATTGGTGGATTTCTTGATGATAGCCATTCTTTCTGGGGTGAGATGGAAACTGAGTGTTATTTTAATTTGCATTTATTGTTTTAAAAATCATTTATTTATTTATTTATTTATTTATTTGGTACAAGGACTAGCTACACAGCACAGACTCATAGTGATCCTCCTGTCTCAGCCTCTCTGGCGCTGGGATTAAAGGCATGTGCCACCATGCCCAGTTTTGGAGGCCTGCATGGCATGACATGAACAGGTGTACAGTAGTAAGGATTGAACCTGTGTTCTTGTGCTTGCCAGGCAGGCACTTAGAGCACCAAGCTATCTCCTCAGCCTTGCATTTCTTGAAGTATCAATGGTAATGAATATTTTTTGATATAATTTATTTACCATTTGTATTTTTTCATCTGAGAAATGTATTCAAGTGCCCATTTTTGGATTGGATAACTGAAAGGAACATTAATGCTTAAATTGTTTTCTTTTTAATTTTTTGACAATTTTGCATACTTGTCTCTGGTAATATGAACTACTAATTCATAAAAAAAAAGAAAAGTATATGCAATTAACAACAAGTACAGAATTCCTATTATCTTGTTTAATGTAATTCTGTATTATTTCTAATGTTTTTTATTTTTTATTCTCTTAAAAAGACTATTGCTGTGAAATACTTGCCCCCCCAAGTATTCAAACTCATTTACCTTTTATAAAATATATTGAAACTTTCTATGATGGCTACTATTAATTTATTTTCATTTCTGGAAACTAGCAAAAACAACCATATGTTTTTAGTTGTAGGAAAGAAATTGAGCAGAATGTAATTCTAAGTTCTGTTGAAAGAAATGGTTCACATTTAAGCTTCAGGGGATTAATGAAATATCTAGAATTGTCTGTGGAATGGGATCATCTATTTTTATAAAGACAAGATCCTAGTCTTGCATCAAAGGTAACAGTGACTCAAAATATGTAGGCAAGGGTAACCTCATTAAAGATACAGGAGTTGATTAGCAAATATCTAAGATTTACTACTTAAGATTTACTTACTCATTTACAAGGAAATATTTCCAACATTAAAGCATGAGAAATTAAAGATTCTTGTTCTGATCATGGCAGAATTATAGTCATCAGACTTAGTACTTTTCCTTTGTGAACCACTATTAAACTGTACTGCAATAAATGAAGCACATGTTTTAGGGTAGGATGATAGAAAACGCAGTGCTTTATCTTTCAAGAAAAATAATAAGAGGCACAACTAGAAAATACTGTGACTTTTAATTAAAAATTATTAGGGTAAAAGGCACATTGCCATTAATCCTCTGCAAAACATTCCTCCCACACAGCATTCTTGACACTTTCCTAAGTAGTTTTTGAAGTCATCTTTTGTTAGTTGTGTTTTTTCCATAATTTTATTGAGAAATAGATAACAATAAGACAGTTTAAAGTCAAATTGGTAAGACAGTTTCAATAATTAACACATTGCAGCTGTATTCCTAGTGGTTATTTGTTATACAAGATGCAGACATGGTATACAACATACAAACACTATTAGAACAAATCCCTCTATTTCTTTTTTTTCTTTTTGAAATAAGCATTTTAATTTTATCAATGACGTCTTCATAGAAATGAGGAAAAAATTTTTAATAAGAGGTATGTACTACATACAAAAAAGTATAATTAAACATCAGTTTCTAGCCTTTATTAAAGAACAATGCTTAAAATAAAAATTCAAGGTGTATAACACTCATAACATATGTAGAAATTTCTTGAAATATCTGTATCAAGTAAAATAATATAAATAAAATAAGGAAAATTCA